ATGCACTTGTTCTCACGTGGATAATAAAGCACTCCCTACGGTCGTGCAAAATTACCGCTGCTGTGTATGTTAATATAATTATGTCATTTCTCGACAAAAATATAACGAAAACCAGACTACACTTTAGGAATTGCGCAAAAAATATTTTCATCAAATGAAATGTTTTAGAGCAATGCATCAAAAGTTTTTGCGACAAGGTGTTATGTATTAGGTATTGCGTCATAATTTTTTTCGAGAAAGTGAAATGTATCACGTATTGCGTCCACATGTTTTTCGAAAAAGACCTTTTATTAATTTCTCGTCAAAATATTACTCGTCATGTGCAATGTTTCTGTTTCTTGCAACAAAAAATTTGGCCAATTAGCTAAAATTTTCTCGTTTATTCGAGTTATTTTTTGCGAAAACACTGACAATATCATGCCTTTGCGCCTTAATTTTTTCCACTTGCGTAATTCTTCTCACAAAAGATCGCGTAAGAGGTGACCCTTTGAAGCTTCCGTAAAATATTTAGTAAGACGCACAGACATTACTCGCATTGACAAATAGCTCACGCAATTCAACAAAGTTTTTTTGCAATGATTAAAAACTTGTACATATTACGTATTTTATCATAACGTCTTGATGGAATGTTTTATGTATTACGAATTAATCATAACGTCTTCATGGAATGTTTTTGGTCAAAACGACAAGAAACAAGTTGACATGACGTGAAACTTTTAGATAAATGGAGGCACTGATAAGCTTCCGTATAGTACAAATCATTTGAAATACCGCATTCCTATTTAACTATTATGATTTTATACATCAGCTTGTCATATAAACTATCCATATAATTACCTTATCTTTAAGCGCATGTACATTAAGGTTTGTTATGGGGGCTTTGCAGTTGAATAAAGCTGTAAATTGTTTTTAACAAAATATATATGTTGTATTCAACATAAAATTATATAAATGCAATTTATAGTCATGCAGTTTAAATGCGGTAAGTAAGCTAAGAAGTGTGTTGACAAGTATATCAAGGTTACGACCTATAGAACATACTTTATAGAAAGTACAAGTAAAATATGTTACTATAAGCTGATAAGCAAATCGATATTGAAAGATATTTGTAAAACGTTTCAATATCTCATTATTTACCAATTAAATAGCAATTATTATTATTTCAAAGATAACCATTGTACGGAAGCTTATCAGGGCCTCCACTTATCTAAACGTTTCACGTCATGTCAACTTGTCTCTTCTCGTTTTGACCAAAAACATTTCATGAATACGTTATGATTAATACGTAATACGTAAAACATTTCATGAAGAGGTTATGATTAATACGTAATACGTAGAAGTTTTTAGTCATTGCAAAAAAACTTTGTTGAATTACGTGAGCTATTTGTCAATGCGAGTAATGTCTTTGCGTCTTACTAAATATTTCAGCAAAGTCGTGAAATCAAGAAGTTTCGACAGGATTTTTGTCGAAGAGACAAAAGCTTCAAGCATATCGAAAAAAATGCAGTTGTAATGCCTAAAAGTTTCTCATCTTTGTCAGTAAATTTTATTGAGAAATGCAAAAACATCTTATCAATGTGAATAAAAATAGGTCGACTTAGCGCAAAACATCTCACCAACTGTAGGCCCTGATACGCTTCCGTACCATTGTATGCGCTAAGCAAATTGTTGTTGGGGTTATCTCCCCTTTGCCAGCAATCATAAAATAAAAATAGTAAACGTCTAAACTATAAGAAAATGTCCTTTCTTTAAAAGCATAATACAAGTTACTTACCAGGCTTTAATCGTTGTGTACGGAAGCTTATCAGGGCCTTCATTTGATGAGTTTTTTTGCGCTAAGTCGACTTATATTTATTCGCATTGATAAGATGTTTTTGCACGTCTCAATAAAATTTACTTAGAAAGATTAGAAACTTTTGGGCATTGCAACCGAACTTTTCTCGTTATGCATTATGCTTTTATTACGGAAGCTACGGAAGCTTCAAAGGGTCACCTCTTACGCGATCTTTTGTGAGAAGATTTACGCTATTCGAAAAAATATAAGGCGCGAAGGCATGATATTTTTAGCGTTTTCTCAAAAAATAACTCGAATAAACGAGAAAAGTTGAGTTAATTGGCCAAATGTTTTCTTGCAAAAAAAGAAACATTGCACATGACGAGTACTTTTATGACGTGAAATTAATAAAAGTTGTTTTTCGAAAAAAGTGTAGACGCAATGTGTGATAGATTTCACTTTCACGATTAAAATTATGACGCAATACCTAATACATTACACCTTGTCGAAAAAACTTTTGATGCATTACCCTTATACATTTCATTTGATGAAAAAATGTTTGCACAATGCTTAAAGTGTAGCCCGCTTTTCGCTATATTTTTGTCGACATCGTATTACCTTTTCACACATGATGACTGTTATTTCGTAAAATGAGTTTTTTTTTTATAAAATAGTGGCATTCAGGCATATTATACTACAGGAGGCAGCATATTTATCATATATGTCATGGAGAAAGTTTTAACAGTATTGGTATGTTATTATTGTCATTATTATCATTAATATTACTATTATTAGTAGCACTAGCAGTAGTAGGAGTGGCGGCGATAGTTGTAGCATCAGAGAAGTAGCATTGGCAGTAAAAGCTAATGATCAATGCGAGTAACGTCTTTGCGTCTTATTTAATATTTCAGCAAAGTCGTGAAATCAAGAAGTTTCGACAGGATTTTTGTCAAAGAGACAAAAGCTTCAAGCATATCGAGAAAAATTCAGTTGCAATGCCTAAAAGCTTCTCATCTTTGTCAGTAAATTTTATTGAGAATTGCAAAAACATCTTATCAATGCGAATAAAAGTAAGTTGACTTCACGCAAAACATCTCGCCAACTGTAGGCCCTGATACGCTTCCGTTCAAAATATATAAATAGTGCTACTTAGATATCGATTGTTTTCCGCCTTACATATTTTCGCCATAATTCAAACAAGATAATTGTTTGAGACGGAAGTAATCTAACTGCTAACTAGCTGTCATCACATGTAAACAATATATTAAATGGGAATGAATATGGAGATATTTGGTTGACTATCAGTTGAAAATGCAAAATATTAATATGGAAAACATCTATGTGTAGTTTATGTGTGTTGTTTGACTGATATATTAGTTGTAAAAGCCAAGTACACTAAGTGTAGCAGCAGCCGGACACATGGCGCTTCGTAGCAACAACGTTAAAAACGTGAACGGTAACTGAATGAGACATGGCAAAGCGCATGCTCAGGAACTGACTTCCGCTCTATCGAAATACTGCATATACATATAGCGAAAGTTCGTAAGTGCAGGACGGGTTAACCTTTGTCACGAGTTAAGCGCAAGAAAGAAAAAACAAGAAAGAAACCAGTACTTAAAGCGTCACGTCGAATTAAAGTAATAAGAAGGTAAGTCTTTTGTTAGGAGGTTGTCGTTCATTTGAATATACTTTGCAAGATTCTATTATCTATTATCTGTTTAACATGCAATGAATTAAATAATTATTAGTTTTAATTTAAATAGATTTTACCATCTTATAATAATCTTAATCGGATCTCAACTCACTGAATTGGGCGTCGTTCCTTCCAAATACATTTACTTGATGAATCTGAAATAATCCCCCAAGGTCAAGCTTCCACCACGGTAAATCACTGTATCCTGATAATGTGAGATATTTGCTGTTGATATTATGGCATTCTTTTACTCCATCAACTGCATTTGAAGATGGCCATGTTAATTGCCCTCCAAGCTGTTCGGTTTTCTTTCCAAGAGCTACATTTACTTGAAACAGTCATATTTATTATATTTTATTTTAATGCAAAAAGGACAGTTACTTCAAAATTTTGATACGGATTTATTTAAAAGTGTTGATGATTCTGTCAATGGGTAACCACGCCCATTCTTGCTATAGCAATTCTATCAGGTCAACATTAATGCACAATCAAGGACGATCCATTTCATTGTCCTTTATGCTGTCCGTATCATATTGTGTTTTCAGTTATCTTGTATTGTATATAATTTATATAAATTGAAAATATTGTTATAACTTAAATATCACTTGAAGATAACTATGATTAAAAACTATAGTTTATCCATTTTCTCTTCCTGTTTATATTATTTATATATTCACATTTAACGGTGTAGTTAAGATACAGAGTAAATATCAATGTAGATCACCTATGTAAATCGTTATAAAGTCTTTAAATGGGTTGTGCATTCATTAAGAGAATATACTTTTAAGCCTTTATTTAAATGCAATATTACCTAAGGCAGCCATGTTTTCCGTAACTAGCAGCGTTAGAAGTGTTAAACAATACTGTGTCTTCATAATTTCTTTGCTGAGCTGTAAATACGGAATTGAGAGATACTTTTACCATTGTATGTTTTTTTGCTGTTTCTTACCTATTATATTCAGTTCACATTCAATGAGAGATTGATACTATAATTATTTCGTGGCAAGGTGGTAAGTGTCAAACAGCTGGTCACGTAACCGGTTGTTAGCATTTATATCAAATTACAAATATTATGCTACTTCTCCACATCCTTCACAATCTAAAAATATTCTTCACAAAATTCCTATCATACAAACAGTTTAATGTACAAGACATAAAATTGTGTGTTTCGTGATTTTCGTGTGGAAAAAAAATAACTTATAAAAAGTAAGGCGGTACACCATTCCAAAATTTTTACTGTGAGAGGATTTACCCAGGATAAGAAAGAAAAAGTTTTTAAAACATAGTTTTGAAAGAGAGAGAGAGAGCGACTTCCTTGCGTATTTCTTTTTGTCAAACAAAAAACGCTTGTCCGATATAGTACCCAGGTACTTAGCAGAATAAAAGTCATTGCTTTATATTTTATTCTAATTGCAAATATTTTACTTATCAATAATTAAATTTTATACTCACCTTTTAGCAATAAATCCAAATTATTAAACACTTGTTTATAAAATGTCCACCTAGGGAAGTATTTTTACACGTATCATTAATGCATCAAGCCCTGGTTTATTTAATTTATGTGAACCATTATCTTCTAAATAAATACAGATAAATTGTACGTGTGGTTATACCTATTTCGCTGTTTTATCTAAAGTTGTATATCAATTTTGGTATTTCTTATCAAATAGTAAGACGGATTTGGAGTCATTTTGATGTACTTCCTTTTTCATTTTAGTTACGTTATCCGTGTAGCGGCTGTAAAAAGTCTCCCCGTACATTTAGTCAATGCTGTTATATTTTCTTTCATTGAAAATCGTTAAGCACTACATTATTGTTGTGTATTCATATTGTGTGGTACTTTTAGTTTCTTTTGTTTGGCCTTTTTCAACTTTTATGGTTCTGGTATTCATACTTGAATACTGTATAATCACCCTTAGAATATGTTGCCTGCTTTTTAAATTTGTCTTTTGACGTCTTGTCTTAGATATGCAGGCTTCATAATCTCAGATCCCCTTTCAAAACTCTATTTTTTATTTAGTTCCGCCCATTGTTTCCTTGTTTAGGACAAAAGCATTCTTTTACTTGGGGACCATACGCCGCTTTTCATAGAACGGCACCACTGTATCTCATTGAAGGTTCCATGATGACCACCGTATGAAAACATCTCCGGATGTTTCTAAATTCAAAATTTCAACATTTTCTTGTTTAAATGTTTAATTCTGCTTAAGCCGGTGCTAGGGGGCGTGGACGGTATCTCGCACTTTCCAATACCATTCATGAACAAGCTCAATCAAACCGAGCCTGCAACATGTTTTATTTTGTCGTGTTGGGCTTTCTTTAGGGGTTCTGTTTTTCTCTATTTTATAGGAATTGACTGATGAAAAAACATGTGAATTATGCGATAAGTTAACTATTTAAGATGAATTTAATTTTGTGCTCTAATTACAAATTTTCAATGGTTTTGTTCGATTGAATTTGTTTAACTTATTAAAACAGAGAACCAACGATTACTTCATTATATCGGACTTAACTTGAACAGGACGCTTAAAAAGACACTACTAAACTAAACATGGTATGTTTATTCAATTTGTAGAAGGGCTTAGTAGTGATCCATGCATACTTTAAAATAAACATTCGAAGCTGTTCTGTTGACAGTTGAATCGTGAATGATAATACGATTTTCATGGACAATAAATCAGTATTATTCTGTATTGTAATTTATTATTATTTCAAAAACTTTAGACATTGCCACTACAAACGTTGTTACGGTCATTTTGTGATGTCGATAAATGAACTTTGATAACCTGACATGACAGTGTTTAGGTCTAAATTATTTATGATTCTATTATTTCGTCACCTTAGTCTAGTAATTACTTGAAATAAAACCGTAACTGTACTAAAAGGAAAATATGTTGATATTATTTACACTTTTTCGATACTTTACATTTAGACTAAGAATGTCAAATGTACAGCTCGAATTCGTTATTCCTTTCATTAACTGTTTATGTCAATATTGACAAATAGGGGTGTCGATAACTCTTATATAAAAACATACAATTTATCGCCTAAATCTTTCACTACCTAATCAAGCACTCATTTATTATGCGTTAAGGATAATAGCGTAGTGGTAAAACGTCCGCTCTGTGACTGTAGAGACCCTTGTTTAAATCCTGGAAAAGGTATTTTTTCTGTTCTTTAGTGTTTTTTATAGTTTTTTTTCTTACAACTAACTGGATTTTAGTTCCCCATGAATTTCATTCACACAATGCTATTTGAGAATATTTAGTTATACACACATTCGCATTCAACGTGTTTACAAGACAACACCGTCGTGATAAGGGTGATAAATGAGCAATGGAAGAAAATATATATACACAAATGAGCCAAAATTGTTTAAAATGTGGCGAATAGAATTCAGAGTTTCAAATAGAATAAAAATGATCATACTAATTAATAACTCTGTTTTAAAATCAAATACATCCAATTTTGTTTAACCGTCATAAATAACTTTAGAGTGTGCAAAACATTATAAAAAGAGAAATGACACACAATAAAAATATATATGAACTCGAAAAACCATGTTCATTACCTGTGATCTTTCTGGGTTCGGACTTATATGTATGTTTCTACTATTATTCTTCTGTATTGCAATAAAAGTGCACAATGTAATACTTGAAAAATTTGGACAACCCATTATATCACTATGATACGACTGATTAATATTAACGTTATCGTGTTCGACTTTTTTGTATTGTCCAACAACATTGATCTGGCACTTCATTAACGTTTGTAAAGGTCATTTGAATAAACAATAACCAGTACCTATCGAATATATCGATTTATTTTATGCTTTTCAGTGGATTACTGATTTATCCGTGAAAATTATATTTGGTAATTTCACAGTGAAAATTATAAAATATAATTTCACTCTTTTCAATGACGAAACTACTTTTTTAAGATTTTCCCCATGTGGTACCTCAATTTTATTTTTGCTGACAATTCTGACAATGTCAGGCTGTTTAAAGAAAAAGCAAAACTGAAATTGATAAATAACTTAAATGTCAAAAGTAATAAAAAGAAGAAAACTTACTTCTATTCATTCAAATTCATAAAATTCCAATCACCAAATTTCGTTTTTTTGTTTCATTTTGACAGTCTCAAAAATACATTCCTTCCCCATGCAAAACTGCTCTTGATGACATTTGGGCATATTAAAGTATCCTACGAGCAATAACTGCCGTATGCTTTATGAAAAGTTGAAAGCTTTGACAGCCATAACTCGAAGAATAAGTTAAATCAACCCAGCGTTCTTGAGCAGGTTTCCAAGTTTTCCATTTTCCTAGCTCCTTTTTTGAATGTTTTCAACATCTGTCAACACTTATTTTTTGTCTGTTACAATCCTCAAATAAGTTTTTCTTTCTTTTAAAAATGTGTATGACTAACAAATCCAAATTATATCCCTCTGAATCTTACACTTTATTTTTCCTCCCATGAAATACACAACTTTAAAAATGGCTGCCGCTTACAATTTACAAAGCCAGGTCTAATATAAATTCGCACTAAGTAACAGAAATATGGATGGATGGTTTGACTTTTTCTCCTACAAGAATTGTTTGTTTTATTATCAAAACAAAGCGATCATTCATATTTTTTTAATAAAATTAATAAATATCACCGTCATTTAATGTTGATTGGCGGACTTATTTTTCAGCTCAAGACTTTTTTTTTTTAATGAGAAATTCCGAATAAATGGGGCTCTCAATGGGGAAACAGTTTTAATATTAACGTTAAAATTATGGAATTTCGTTTTAACTTGTTTTTTAAGCATAAAAATAAAAAGAAAATTTGTCTGTTTGTTGTGTAAGATGTAATTTTATTTCATCTCGTGAACTTTAAAAACAGTATTCTCACTCGTGGCTTCGCCACTCGTGAGAATACTGTTTTTAAAGCCCACTCAATGAAATAAAATTTCATCTTACACACAAACAAACAAATATCCTCTATATATTTTCTAACTTCACTCGTCAGTGAGGCGTAGTGTATTGGTATATCTGAAGGTATCTGGTTCAATTCCTTACAAACACCAAGTAATGATTTTTTTAAATTAACTTGCAATCGTTTTACTACACCTGATTTTAGAAAACATTTAAAGAGATGTTTTATGCAAAATTGAATTATTTTTAGCATTAAAATAACTTATTACGCTTCATTGGTTTGTTTACCTTTTTAGTTTTATTTTAGTTTCCGTTTCTTAACATCAACCAAACAAATTCTCATTGGTTTAGATTTGATATTCTTACACCTTGGCTATTTTAGGTACTTTTTTCCAGTTTTCATTGCTATAAGTATTTTTTGTAGTGTCGCTTGATTTTCAAAATTGTTTCTCGAAGTCGTTTTTAGGGTGTGGCATTCCCGCCTTTTATTTTATTTTATTACGTTATATAGTTTCAAAGTTACCACTGGACTTTCATATAAAGTCCGGTTCAAAAAAAAAATGTTTTGAAATTCTCGGAAAGAAATGCCAGATTTTTCTGTTACATTTTGTTAATTGCTGGTACAATTTGTGAAAGTGATAATAAAAGTATAACGGATCTATTTATATTAGTATCAGGACTTTTCTGCAAGTGCTTGTTTTTGCAAACTTTGAAATACACGTGTACTCTGTACAAATTACGCGGGTGGGGAGCATCTCTCTATTTTATCGCTATAGGCTTTGTTGACAGTACATTCTACTCATTCTTTGCATTGTATAATCTATATTCATATCTGTGAAAACGGACTGAGATCTTGTCCAAACGTTCGTCACGCTTGACTGCGACGCAAACTTATCCGATCAGCTGTATACCGTTAATCTCCAATAATACAATGAGTGAATTTATTAATATAAAATCAGTTTTACACGATCTTAACTTCCATGCACAAAATTATTATGTATTATCATTTTGATTTTTTTTTCGAGTCGAGTCAAGGGCATCACATGCTAGATACAACTTCATTTTCATACGTTGCACTTCTTTGTCCCGGGTTATCTGAAAATAAATAGGAATAGTGTTAACACTGTATAAATTGAACTGTTGTTGTTGTTTTTCATAACTCAGATTTGAATGCTAAGCATATAGTTTCAATGATTTGGAGAGGTTGATTGCGCTCAGCTCTTGACATGTTAATTAACAGGACATCCATTATAGAAACATCTTTAGGTGTATTATGCAGGCTTAAAAAGACGGTGTATATTTTATATATTAAAGACAAGATACAACCTTCAGAGTAGAATCTGCAAATACAGTGGAATTATGCAGAACAAAAGTTATTTGGAGACATATATTCTGGTTGTTTTGCTCAATCATTGTGAAGTCGTACGTTGTCAAAAATTTGATACGACTGTGATTGTACGTATGCCATTTAACTTTACACAAAACCCTTCAGAAGTATAGGGTAGAAAAGCTTTTCCGTTGATACTTTACGATAATTACAACGGATGTAATTCCAAGGCAATTTGCAGACAGCATACTCTGCTGTCAATATTTAACATACCATCAATGATTTGATTCCCATGTACCCTACGATGATAGTATAGTTTGGTGGTCCTTCAGGAGCAAGTCCAGCAAGTTAGTGTTAAAGTTTAAATACAGTTTAATCCGTTGTTAATGGGCTTTGAGAGATGTTGCACATTTACATTATCTCTCATTAACAGATTTTATCAAACCTAGTATAATAATATTGTCACTTCCATTGCTCCCAACCGATCGCAACTTTTCCAGATTTTTTTATATAAACATCAGTCTTGCTGCGTTCTATATAAATCGTTTGATATAATTTGCAAGTGTCGGTTTAACGACCTATTATTCTTATACATGATATTCTCATACCTGATTATTATTGTAACAGTTGAATTGACAAGAGAGATATAATCATTATATTTACGAAAAAGAAGAAAAAATATCGATAATGAATAATTTGATTTAAAGATTATATGTAATATCATATTGATAACATACTGTTCATATGTTTCAAACGAAACAATCATAGCTCAACGGGGAGCCCGACGATAGTAATATAAGACATAAAAAATCCAAAAAAGTTTACACAATAATGACTTCAAACTTTGAATGTTTCCCACGGCTATTTCATAAGAAATAATAATACCGTCATAATTATTCTCGCGTGAAATGTTTAACCAGCACCGTTTTAGAAGCATTGTGCGTGAATTTGCGACGATACACAAATAATCAGAATTTTCCTTTACCCAGTTGACAAATATAAGCATAAATGGTATACATGGACTGAATAGTCCTCATTTGTACCAAATTGCAGATTTTGGGCATAAAAAACTTTTCCAAATTATGAGTGTAAATTCAAAGGTTATACGTAATGATTGTAGTACAAATATGTTCCGTCTTTTTCCCTTGTGTGAGATTAGCTGAACCGATCGTTTACTGCATATAACTTAGCCAAATATAAATAAGTAGAAATTGACCTAAATCATTCTCAAAATTTCAATGACAGAGCATTAAATGAGATCAAAGTAGCTTGCATACTATCTTCCTACAATGTATGCAAAGCATATGCAAAATATATTTATATGTATAATTGTACCATCGAGTACGTCTAAAGTGTCATAATCTGGATCATCTTGTGCAGCTCGAGACTTTGGCGTTGAGTTGTGACTTTTATTGTTCTCACTGTAATAAAAAAATAAATATTCAGAGTCTCTTCAAGCAAAGAACAAAAACAACAAAACAATATTACAAACAATAACGCACAATACCATTAAAACATGTGTAACTTGCTCTATCTTTTTGAAAAGTATTTTATAAAGGTACTTATCTCAAGACTTTGTTAAATATACATTGAATTGATTCTACCTTTTAACATATTTTATAACTGTATCAATATAGCAGTAAAGAGAAGACGAAATGTACTTTATTTATCGGTGTTTGTAACACAGACAGAATTTTTTTTATAAAAATAAAAATTATTTCAAAATAACCAATCAATTAAAGCTATTGACGTTCAAGTTGTGTCATTTTGATTTAAACTTGTTAACCTTTTTCTCTTTCTAAATATAAAAACAGCAACAATTAAGGCGCTAAGTATCAGGACAATTATTGATCCACCGACAACACCTGCTACCAGAGCTGTTGAATTCTTCTCCTTTTCTCCCTTGTGGGTTTCACCAACTGTATACAAACAATAGAGGATTCAAAAAATATTTTCAATGATTGAAAATCGGATGAAAATATCAGAATTTCGTTATTATATGATCTAAATATAGCTGCAAACAGTAGTCAACAGAACTTTTTATAAAATCATATTAACTGGGTGTAGTATCATATTCACTGGCTGAATTGGAATTTCCTAGTCTAAAGATAGATTGAGACTCATATTCAATGATCATACACCGTAGACTGTTAATTACGCGTGTTAATTAAAAAATAATTGTTGCTTTTTTTTCTTATGGCATTTTTCTCGATTAAAATATCAATACTTTACTATCATACTGAAGGGTTACACCGCAATAATGAGTATAAACTTGAATTATTTTTGTATGCGCAGCGTTCGCGTAGTCGTTGCATGCCTAACACGTCGTCTTTCTTCCCGCGCTTCAACGAGGCAAAATTTGTACATGTATAATTAGAAGGTTGCACTTTTGTGATTTTTTTAATTTCTTAGCCTATTCATATAATAAAACAATTATTGACAAGTGAACTATTGAATATGATGTGATATTCACCAGCAGCAAGTCATATTGACCTCGGCTATCGCCTCGGTCAATATGTCATCTGCCGGTGAATATCACATCATATTCAATGGCTCACTAGTCAATAATTGTATAATGTTACATACTAAACAAACACATTTTATTTAATATACCACCCCTTTTAGTTGTTGACATTAATTTGTTTAAGTAATGATTTTTGCCGCGTAACGATATGCTCTGGAAATAAGGACGTCTTCAAATTATGACGTCACAATAATATTGTTAATTTGATATTGTAAAGTTTCTTTCACTTGTGTTTCATTTATAAAATAATTCATGCAGATATTCACGCCATTAAGCACATTTTACTAACGAAATAGTATTTTTGACAATTTCCACTGAAAATTAAATAGATCTTACACCGGCTGCTGTTATAAACATTGAGACCTTGAACTTGAGTAAGCACAAAAACGATAGTCATATACATCTGTACATTTTACACAAAGTTTGAAGACGGCCCTTCATGAAGGAACATTTTTTGTATAGCTGACATAATCTAGTATGACGTTTCACTTTCAAGGGTGTCATTGACTGTGATACATCACACCGGCATTTAAGCCCAATGTTTACAGCAGTCGCGAGATTATCTAAAATATGATAAACAAGATCAACAAAGTTCACTTTCAAATGTGACCTTCGGTAGGAACATCTTCACAATGCATATTTGCAGTAATGATTTGCGCAAAGCTTGGTGAATAGCATTTAGAAAGGTACAGTGTTTATAAAGTCGACATGAAACTATTTGTCATTTTACTTCAGCAAGCACAATGCTAGCATTGATGCTGCCCATTGACTTGTTGAGGTGAAAACACCTGGAGGAAGTTTAAAGAAAGTCCTGCAAGGGGTATATAATTTAAATAGCAGTCGTAAGTCACTAGGATATTACAACAACTCACCTTGATTACAATGGAAACCAGTGTATCCGTCTTTGCAACCGTTTTCACATATCCCATAGTCGTTAGTACATGTACCATCTGCACAAAAACAGCTCTCACTACACTTGTCTCCAAAAGTGTTCTTCGGACATTCTTAGTAAACACAAATGTTAGTCTCAACTTATGACGCATTATGAACAAACATATACGTATTATGCCATAATTTTAGCATAAGTTTCAATGAAATATGAAATGAATGATAAACAAATGCGACTTATTACACATTTAGAAGTAAACGTTTTTACATTAAGATGTTTTTTCCAATTTTAAAATTTCAAGATTGTATACGCTGAAGTGTACAGAGTAGGTAATCACGTGATATTTGTTAACCGTAGCATTCGGTCACTGCTACCTGTTAAAGCTATCTATTCGTTATTTCTTTCATGCTTGACATATAAACATATTCCAGTAAATATTTGCCTATCCAATGTTATATAACTTGTCGTAACATTTTTTACTTTAGCTGTTATAGTAGATTGTTTTCTTTGCGGCAATACTATGATTAAAATATATGTAACAATTCCTGTAAGCATATCGGAATAAACGCTACACTAGAAATTTATGTACCATTGATATCATCATCTCAAAAATGTCTGCGATAATTTGAATCTCGGCCTGTTGATCATACATTTATCTATCTTTAAGGTTGAAGTAGCAAAATAGATTTTTAGAAACATCAAACATATTTTGAGTATGTAACATAACGTGTCATTTGGTCAGGGTATCGCATTGTAACATGGCCAGCGATTGGCTGAAAAAAAGTGCAGGGAAAACCGTATGAGTCAATTTATACATGAGGTGATTGGATGGAAGTGGGGTATTTTATAAGTAAAAAAAACTAATTTAAAAAGTAACACTACACTGTTTTCTGAAGAAAATGAAATATTTCATGAGACTCTGTGATAATTTTGACTTGGATATTTGCATTCATAAAAAGTGTATGTCAGTCCTGTGATCAGCAGAAAATTTCAATGAAATGGGGGGTAATCCTCTCTGAAGTCATTTTGCAAAAAATTTGGTTGGCTACCCCTATATAACAAGAACATTTTCATGTGTCAGGCATTTCATTCTGCTAGAAAAATTAGCTCTTTAGCATGAAAACTCAATTTTAAGGTAGGATTAGGGACCATTTCTTATAATGTAAGTCTATGGAAATATCAATGTGAGTGTCTGACCTAAAGAGAGGGAAATTGGAACTGTCATAATTCATTTGTAGTACTTTGTCTTCATTGATACACCATGAAAAGCTGATATTTTGGAAGAATGGATGTATACAGCCTGTCTAGGTATGAAATTTCATTATTTCAATGCAACTGTTGGTGTTTACAGCAGATAATGTGTCAAGGGGGTCAATCTACAAGCATTGTTTACATATGAACAAGAGTATTAGTGTTCCTTAAAAGTTAATAATGGTTTGTATTTTCTTTAAACAGTGAATTTGAGTGATAATTAATTGGTAATATGTTGATGATGAATAATGTAGACCTTGGTCATTAAAAATATTTTTCAGATTTCAAAGAAATGCTGTACATTGGCTATACACATGCCAGGTTTGAAGACTTATGTATAATTTGACAGGACCTGATGTAAGCACATTGGCCACTTTTGATGGGTGTTGCAGGTATATCACTACAAATGCATATTGCCAGGTTCAAAACTAATATATTAATACTAGAAATAGTCTAGGGTGCTGTTTCGGGTAACTTTCGACTTTATTTAGGGGCGGACATTTCTTCGCTCGGCACTAATTTTTTTCCATTTTGCTCAAATATTTACATAGAATGTCACAAATAAATTGCTTCTATGTCTGTTTCCCATATAAGAATGTTTTGTGTTTCATTTACAGGCATAGATAGCATAAAAGCTTCAAATAAATAGCATTTCAAGGCTTCTGTCTTAAAATTTACTTGGTTTCAGGGCATGAATATCAACACATACTTAGAAATTGAAATCCATTGAAAAATGTAGCATAATTCAGTTAGGTAGCCTCTGAATAGCCTTTTATTATGTGGTTAAGATGCAAAATAGTGATAAAAATTCATTGTTTTCTATTTGGTAATACATATTTACACACTCACAATGTATAATGCCATAGTTTTTAGACTTTATATCTGTTTAATGCATAATTGAAATGAGCATCATAATGGCCAAGGGTAGAATTATTTTGTAGAAAAAGTTTTATTGATAAGTAAAAGTTGATCTATTTTTTCACAATCATATTAGGCACAATTATAACACAGCTTTAGTGTCTCTGATGTGTCTATAAACAGAAAAAGCACTTATTCTGGTAGATAAATGTACACAAAGGGTGTGATTATGCACAACTTTAGTGAATTACCTCCCTTTATTTATTGAGAAACTTAGATAAGTGCATAAATTCTAGTGTCTGGCTACCTAAATGAGAAGAAAATACACAATACTATCCATTCCAAGTACATATTGGTCTGAAGAGGTGATTTACATGGTAAAACACCTGAAAGAAGGTTTCAATTGTCATATTTGGCTCCAAATGAATGAATGCAAAAATGGCCAATAAATTGGGTGTAGAAGTCAAATTTTAGGCTATTACTGTGCTGTTAAGTCCAGAGGAACTTGGTTTTTCCATATATTGCATTTTTTATATCCATGTAAGAGAGAGACAAAATATATATAAAGAATTTTGGCATTTTATTGACATTTAGGTTTGTATTTAAGACTATATAAGCAAATATTTGGAGTAGAAAAATACAGCAGGGGCAATTTTAAAATACCTAGTTACACCCAAAATGTTGCTATGTGTGTACAAATAACGTGTAATCCATAGTCAGGTCACTATACAGTAGTTATTTAATATGTTTGCTAAGCTAAATCTTCATTCAGGAAGTCTATTGGTAATAAAATGTTGAAATGTGGGTGAAAAATCACTTATTTTGTTATGGGTGGGGTGATAAAATTGCTCCCTGCTACATCCTTTTGTTAGAAAATTAGTATTTTGAAGCACTTCTGTAATGAAAACAGTGTAGTGTTGCTATCTGAGTGATTTTATGGAAGTTGTTACAAAATTGGCTTCAGAATAATGAATTATGTATGAAAATCACATGCTAACATTTATTTTCAGAATATCCGGATTGCGGCATAACGGCGCTTGTTAGAAAAAAGGCAATTTCAAAGTTTTTAATGACTTAAGAGTGGTGAAAATGCATCCATATAATTGGTAATTGTATATGCAACTTCATTTATTATTAGATATTAGAATACTAAACATTTAATATTCCCTTTAGGTCAGGGTATCGCATTGTAACATGGCCAGCGATTGGCTGAAAAAAAGTGCAGGGAAAACCGTATGAGTCAATTTATACATGAGGTGATTGGATGGAAGTGGGGTATTTTTAAGTAAAAAAACTAATTTAAAAAGTAACACTACACTGTTTTTCTGAAGAAAATGAAATATTTCATGAGTCTCTGTGATAATTTTGACTTGGATATTTGCATTCATAAAAAGTGTATGTCAGTCCTGTGATCAGCAGAAAATTTCAATGAAACGGGGGGTAATCCTCTCTGAAGTCATTTTGCAAAAATTTGGTTGGCTACCCCTATATAACAAGAACATTTTCATGTGTCAGGCATTTCATTCTGCTAGAAAAATTAGCTCTTTAGCATGAAAACTCAATTTTAAGGTAGGAATAGGGACCATTTCTTATATGGAAATATCAATGTGAGTGTCTGACCATTTGTAAGCTTACTTTTGTTACAAGATGTACCAATCCAACCAACTTTACATGCATCTGACTGACAATATCCATTTCTTTTATCACATGCACGTTCATCGGCACAGTGACAAATTTGGGAACATTCCTCGCCAAATGTTCCTACCTCACATTCTGTAAAACATGAAGTCCTCATCATTTTCTGCCATAAATCAAATTTTACATTTAGCAAACATATTGTCTCTAAATCTATCAAACATCTTATATTTATTGAAGAACACTGACTATACTATGATTTTCGATTTGTAAACTAGCTAGCAATAATTCAAATAATACCGAAACAATAAATAGAAATGTACATTAATGTGATTTGAGAATAAAAGTGCTCACCCCCTTCAGTCACCAAAACTTCACACATGGTCAAGACGCCTGGTCTCTGGATCTTAATATATCTTGTTAGTTTATTTGAAAAAGTTAGCACATGTTCATTTCCATCTATCCGCCTCGTGGTATTTTCAACCAGATGATATGAATTTTGTCCAGTATTATTAGAAAAGTAAAGCTTGAAATCGGTAAGTTGTTGATATATTTCCTCTAAAACATACAGATAAGTAAATATTAACCATAAAGAAAAAATAAATAAAAAAAGCATACTACTTGAAATAACAAACTTAAAATCAAAACACAAAAAGGCAAATATGATAAAAACAGTGCATTTTGACTAAGCCTGTAAATAGGCAGAAATTGTAAGCACCAGCTTCTGTTCTGCTTGCCCCACCTATTCCCTCAATAAAAACAAAGTTTTGCGTTATATTAACAGATAGTTCCACATTTCTAACAATGTAAGCGGACAAAACAGATTTATACTAACCGTTGTCTCTACTGTACACAGTTACACTACTGATAGGATAACGTTGTCCTAAATCTACTGTCCACCAAGACAATTGGGAATTCTTTGTGCCGCTACAGCAATTACAGACCTCAGGTATTGGACCAATTTTTCCATCAATTGCGCGATTTGAAGTCCAATTAAGTAATGTTGATGACATAGCTGTTTGCACATGCAAGCGTCTCAAAATGTTTATATCTATTTATATACAACAACAAAATATCTAATTATAAAATACGTAAAATGAAAACACTAATACTTTTAAAATATCTGAGGACAGTGCGTTTAAGTCATCTCAATTACAATGGTATAGAAAATGGTGTCCGTTCGTGCCTGAAATAATGTACGAAAGGCACCTGAGGTCTTCCTCCAACAGTAAAGCTGAAACGTTGCCATATGAAATATACTGTGTCTGTGATACGTATCAATCATAGAAACAAACCAATATTGCAAAGAAAATAACAAAAGAGTTAAAAAAATTATATTTAAATGTACCCTGAATGAAGACTGAAAAACATCAAACATATTTCAGAGGAAAGGACATATCAGAAAATAAATATCAAGACATATGTTTCTTATCCCTCAATTTTTATCATCACAAAAAAACCCTTAAACCTTTGAAATATATGTGTATTAGCTTTAAAACTACGTTTGTTCATTTATTAGATATAGTTCATAGAATTTTTACTAACTCATCAATATTTATCTGTCAATATAAACTAAAATTAAAACGAGGGGAAGTTTAAAGATTTAGTGGTAATAGTATCGAGGAAAGAAATGGCGGCATAGCGGCATAACGGGCTAAACTTGTTGTTGAAATTTGAAACAATTAAAACGGTTATAAAAGAATTTTTTCAGACAAATCTTGTGAGTTAAACGATATGTCAGCAGAAACAAAATTGAGAGACGTTATTTTATCATTTGTGTACGGTTATTTTTTCCATTAAGGCCATCGCGACACACACATAACTCGAAACAACGAAAACACGTAAATGTGATGGTAAAAAGTCAAAATAACGAAACAACGATGGTGAAAGGTCGGATGTATGATGATGAAAAGTCGAAAGCACGATACAGAAAAATCGGAATAACGAAACCATGATGGTGAAAACTCGATATAACTTTGATTTGATTTTTCACCACCGTACATTTTCATTTCTCCTCTATTTTATATTGTTGCTGTCAATTTGACGCGATCAGTCCGCTAGAATGCAAAGCCACCAACTTCCTTCATCTGAGTAATAATTATGTTTTATGAGGCATTATACAATATATGTACACGTCAACTTGAATTTTGTTTGCTGGTCAGCATCTATGTCATTTAAATACGGTGCAACTGCTCGACAGATCAATTGGAGTTGATTATAATACATTGGTATATCGATATATAAGCAATTGGTACAAAATGAAAGTGGTCATATACGTTTAGAAAATAATCATAGAAATGTTTTTATTTATATCGTGAAATAAGTGATTTGTTGCATTGTAATTAGCGATTGAATATGTAAAATCTATAGATGATGAAACGTAATTTCTCATTAAAAAGTATAATCCAAACATTTCTAAAATAAGTCTACCTGTATTAAATTTTGTAAAAAAAAAAGGGAGACATAGCAAAAGTTTTATAATTGCAATTTGTATTATACACGATGAATAACGGTATAATGTCTAAAATGAAAACCTCAATTGAAAGTAAATGAACAGTAATGTCCGAATGGCCGATAATTTCAACCAAATAAACAATGATGTGTATTTTAATTTAGTGCAAATACATATTCAAATACAAAAAAAATCTTTCATAAGATTATTTTGAAAAGGCAAATCTGTAAATCTGTTGTCATATACAGTTTTCTTCTTTTTTCTTCTTTGAAAGTTAAACTAATTCCAATTTCAAATTTTATTGCCTGAATTATTATACAATGTTTATAGCAAACTTTTGATTTTATGATTAAAGAAAACGTACCTTCGCTGCAGGTTGGTAGAAGCCATCCGGGCTCGCATTGCTCAATAAAGCATGTCCCATTAGTATTATCACATAAAGTACCTTCTTTACAATTGCAAGTGTTGTTGCATCCATCACCAAACTTGTGAACATCACAAACTACAGTAAGGTTTCAATGTAATGTTTCTAAGTAAGTTGATAAAGCTTTACTTACAAGTTTTTACGCTTTTGCTCGAACTCTAATTAATTATAAATAATCACCCGATATTTTGAGACGTGGGCACAACAGTACAGAATGATATACTTTAAGTGGTAAGATATAATACTATAAAGATTGAAATATGATCAAATAAAGTAATTATAATGGATATCATTAAAACTTTTATTATCGTGGTACGTTAACTTGAAAATCAAACTCTTCTGGCATATCAATTTTCTATACGGAAGGTACTTCAGATAGCAACATAACTAGACATGAATTGTTTAGAATATTTATTCCAAATATTGTTTTGTTCTAATTTGATAGGAAAAAAGCAGTTTATAAACAACAGAACTTAGAATTATTACAAATATATGTACCTAATTATAACGAAACGTGAGCCTAAGTAAACAAGCATTTCAATAAATAAAGAATTAGATGAGGAAACACATATATATTGTTAAAGAGATTAATGAATAATTTGGTAAGATATTAATAAGAGTATTTGTAATTACCAGGCTTTATCTAGTGTTTATTTAAGATAGTCTTTAGGAAGTATCTTCAAATTAAAAAAACTAAAGGAAAGTTGTACAATCAGTACTATCATTTAACATATTTGTTATTTACCATTTTCACAAGCCTCTCCTTGCCACCCTGCTAGACAACCCGGTGTCTGGCATTTACCTGTTACTTGGTTACATGCACGATTGTCTTTACAATGACAGATATGCAAACAACCAGTTCCAAAATTTCCTATCTCACATTCTGAAAGAGTTTACTTAAATTGTCGATTCTGCAATAATGTTTACCTGATCATTAACTGATGTCCGGTGACAGTGTTATGTGTGGTTCAATCTAGTACATAAGGTTTGTGTACAATATTATCACCTTAATGTCATTTAAAATCCAAAATTAATGTTTTAATAGAGATATCTTATAAAGAACGTAATCTACAGCCAGGAAAATAAAGTCGCAAAATTCAAGAACTTGTAATACTTTTAGAAATTTCATCCATGCCATATCTTCAATTTTCAGTATCTGTCAAAATGTATATGTGACTGTTTAGTATCAGTAAATACATTGCATTTATATTTGATCAATTAAAATATTACCTAATACTTATGCTCATTAGATAACAAATGGAACAAGGCAAGTCCCGGTAGAATTGTTACACGGACACATTTTGAACAAAACATGCTAGGAATGTTCCTTAACAAATAAAGAAATTATTCTTTTGAAATTTGTTACCTTTCTCATATAATTTCAATTCACACAAAGTCATCACTCTCTGTGACAACTCTACTAAAATGTATCGTATAATTATTGGATCTACTAGCTCCTTGGTAAAGTGTCGTTTGTTTGTCATTTTTGGAACCATGTAAACATTTGTCATATTTACTGATGGGTTTACTGTCGTTGAGTAATTTCCAGCATAAACTATTGCATCTTCTAACTGTTCATTCTGTTCTGTAATAAGATTCAGATTTTAATTGAGTTTTAAAACGAAAAGTGTTTGTATGATTGTGTCGAATACATTAATTCTTATTTTCACAAAGCTATATGAAAGTAGAAGCAGTCGTCTTCCGTTTATATTATTCTTTATTTAATCACGAAATTACCTAAAAAACCATGGATTTAGCTCAATACAGGATTGGAGCAGTACCTTGCAGAAATCATGATCACAAAATAGACAAATATCGTTTTTTTGGCGATTGTTATATTTTTCATTCATTATCATACATTAATCGGTGTGAAAAGATGAATTAGACCTATTAAAGTTCATTCCGTTGGGTAAAAAGGCAAGATTTTAGCATTTTATGATTCAAGCACCTTGCCCGGTATATACCGGAATACGGTATTTAGTGTGGTGCTCCAATCCTTTTTTTAGTCTCACTCAAAAACCATACACTGGTTTGCAATTTTATCTATTCCTGATTATATCTTTAAATTTCAGACATCATTAAAATAACAGTTTTTTTAAATGTCCTCATCTTACTTGATTCACGTCCAAATATCTGCAAACCACCTAACAGGTATTTCTGTTTAAGATCAATTTGCCACCAAGAAGGAGGTGCTCCGTTTGTTACACTACAGCATTTACATCTATCTACTGAATAATTTGGAACCCCATCTATTGCTTTTCTAGAGTTAAAATCTTGTTGTTTTGAGGTTGATGGAGAACATGTACTAGACTGACTGGTACTAACAATGTCTCGAATACGTTCTATTAGACTTAAATCTGAAAAAAAGATCAGAACATTTAAAAACGCTTATTGAATTTATAAAACAAATGTATATGAAACATCTAGCGTGCTGTACTTGATATGGACATTGACACACAAATGGCATTGTTTACTGTTAAATGGACCAAAGGCATGTTCAGGTACAGAATATTAAAATACCGTGTGATTAAATTGTATATTCTGAAAAAGCTTATTAATTTTTATCAACATTTAATACTGATTCTAAAATGTAAAAAAAAACAATTTAGCAGAAGAAATATGAATTGAATCTGTCGGCACATTTAGGTGTAGTAAGTTGTGAAAATGAATAAAAAACAACTACATGTATACGATAACACATTTGCATTTGAGAACATTACCAATTTAGTTTCAAAGCTAAGTACAAAGTTATATAAGTTAATAAGGCGTTGATAAAACAGTAGCATAACAATTCAAGGTAACATTTAATGATTTGTTCATGAAATTTTCTAAAATGTTTAACCATAATATATATATTACAGGCTGGAACCGACAATAATAATAATATGACACATAAATGCAGTCTAACAAAGGTTGTTACGCCGCATAAAGCTCTCAATTAATATAGCTCTTCGGGGATCTTTATTCCTCGACAACTTACTTCAATTGCCTTACTTCAAACGGTTACATACGATGAGATGTCCTTTTTCGACGGCTTAAGCTCCCGATATAATAGCTTGCAATTAATATTGTTGAAATGTATTAGTTTACTCATATATTTTACCCTTCACATCCGTTTTTAATCAGGATTCCTCGGCTTTTATTGTTATCTTGTAATTCGAAAAGTTGCGATTGGTATATAACCTATAATTGTGCAGTACTTCCGGCGAACGTTTTAAATACCATCACTATCTAGCAGGTACATGTACTCGTTAAACCGTAAAGCTCGCTTTGCGAACGGCCCTTTGGGCCTGCTCTTCGAGGTCACTATAAACTTCTGTCTGTATACCTACTATTTTCGCGCAAAGACAATGTTCACACAAAAGAGTGGACTAAATGGAAGATAGATAGGTAGAGGGATAATTTTATTTGAACGATGATTAATGGTTGATTATTTTTTCACGACGATGGATGTGATAATGATTTTGAATATTGATTTGGAGGCGAGTAAAATATTATTCTGATTATAATGATAGTGGAAGACGATTTTTGTGATAATTAAGGTGATAAAAACTTTAATGATGATGGAGGCGATTATGATATAGAATTGATGATGATTTAGGTGACGATAATTAGGATGTTGGAAACCATTCCTAATTTTGATAATAAGGGTGATGATGATGATGCAGATGCTGGTAATGAGAATTTGATGATCACGGAAATGATGATGATAAAATTTTGATGATGAAGGTAATCATATTCATTGACAAGAGGGTCATGATGGCCTTTTTATAAATTCTCCTTATGACAAGGAACAAGTTATATTGTAAGCTATTAATGAAAAGCAGATATGAAAACTAGATATTAAATGGATGTCAGAATGTTCAAACTTGTATCTGAAATGGTGCACATGTGAAACTATTACTGGTCGCAATTTCTCAGGAAATACAATAGCTTCTAAAAAGATCACTGGTTGCTGTACACAGTCCATGGTTTCCTTGGAAGTCAGTGGCTGCTATGAAATTTAATGGAAGATTCGCTCGTTACTATGTAAAGTCAATGGTTGCTTTATAAGACACTGGGTGCTATGGAAGTAAATGGCTGTTATGGAAAACACACTGTTGCTATGGGAGAAATGTGTTTCTATTGAAAGTCAATGGTTGTGATATAAGTCAATGGTTACTATGGGAGTCACATTTGATATCAGAATGCAGTGATTGCTAAAGAAAGTCATCGCTTGCTAAGGAAAACTATGGCTGCTATGACAATTCAGTGGTTGCTATGGATGTCAATGGTTGCTATGGAAAGTCAATGGTTGCTATTGAAATTTTCCGGTTGCTATGGAAATCTCATGGTTGCTTTTGAAAGTCACTGGTTGCTTAGGAATTCTATGATTGATAAATGGTCAATGGTTGCTATGTGAGTCACTAGTTGCTGTTGGAAATCACTTGCTGCAATCGAAGTCTTTGGTTGCTATGGAAAGTCACTGGTTCATATGACAGACAACGGATCGCCTGGGCTCCTTGCCACTGGTTCTAGTTATAAGGGTTGCGTTTATTGAACGCCGCCTTTCCTTGTTGATCTTGTTTGTTATCTTTTCTATAGAAAGTCACTGACTGCTATGGAAACTGATATGGAAGTCTAAGTTTGCTATTGAAAACACTGCTTAATATGGAAAGTAACTGGTTGTCACGGAAGTCAATGGTTGCTATGGAAAACAATGGTTGCTTCGGAATTTCAATGAATGTTATGAAATGTCACTACTTGCTTAAGAAGTTGTTGTTTTGGAAAGAAAACGGTTGCTATGTAAGTCACTTGTTGCTATGAGAAGTCAAAGGTTGCTATAGAAATAATTGGTTACTATGGAAAATCACTTGTTGCTATGAAAATTTTTGGTTGCTATGGAAAGTCAATGGTAACTATGGGTGTATAATCTGAACAACTTTAGTCTACCAAGAAATATTTTGAAAGTTAACGGAAAAAGGGAAACATACAGGATTTATTATAATGTGATTCAATAAAAAAAATAAGAATCCCTAAAAAAAAGCCCAACACGGCAAAATTGAAAATGTTGCAGGCTCAGTTTGATTTGAGCCTGTTCATCGACGGTACTATTAAGTGCAAACTGCCGTCCACGCCCATTAGCATCGGCTTAAGCAGAATTCAACATTTAACATGAACTGGTACAATTTGGAATTTTGAAACATCCGCAGATGTGTTCATATGGCGGTTATCATGGAACCTTCAATGCCATTCCATGAAAAGCGGCATATGGTCCCCATGCAAAATAAATCCGTGTGCCCTAAACGAGAAAACAATGGATGGAGCTAAATAAAATGGAATTAAGAAAGGGGATCAGAGGTTATTAAGCCCGAGGTTATCAAGTCATTTTCTTAAATTGTCATATGCATCTCTTATATATTGAAGGAGTCACTCAAAAATTGTTATTTAGAACATGTAAGCTCACTCTAAGAATAATGTTACAATTATAAAAATAGACCAATACTGTTGAGGATATTTTCATGACTTTTTACGCGCTAGTGTTGAAATACCGTTTACCAAATTTGTTAAATTCTGGCAACTACTTTGAATGTTAAACTCTTATCTAGTCATTGGACGTTTAAAGCAATTTTGATTTAAAACAAAAATATAGATTTCTGCTTTAAACATGTAAGGTATTGGTATTGATAAAATACCGTGTCTTTTCATCTTATAAACTTAGAGATTTTATTAAATTAATATAGGTTTTTGGTTCATACCATTGCTACAGTTCAATCCTGACCATCCAAACGCACAGCCTGTACTACAACCCCCGTCTGATTTGCGACAATCTGATTCATCTTGACAATGACATTTACCACTACAGTTTACGCCAAATGTGCCACTTGGACATTCTGTCAGAATAGTCAATCATGTGCTTAAGTTAGAATTGTCTCAGGGTTTTTTTTGTTTTTTTTTTTCCTGAACCGATTTAGCATTATTATGAAACCATTTTATAGAATAAGATCAACTTTTAATCATTATATTTACTAGGTCGCATTCTTAAAAGTTTTTATATTTTTTAATAATGGACTTGATGTTCATAAACTCTATACAAATCATTATTATACCACGAGAACATTTAGGTCCGGTGAATCCAGGATTGCAGCCGTCCAAACAATATCCTGTTGTTTTGTTGCACGCAGTTTTACCGTTCTTACAGTGATTACTACAAGTTCCGATACAATTTTGACCATACTGACCATCAAGACAAACTGTTGAAATGAAAGTAACACTTAATTATAGCACTGTTTTGTTAAGGTTCATTTTAGTACCTGACTCACTCAGTCAACTTCATATGGTATATCAAAACGGAAATAAAATTCTAAATAATTGTTTGTTTCAAAAACAAATTTCTGAAGGTGACGTTGTATTGTCTGTGCACCAATATAAATTAAATGTGAAGTGTTTACAGGAATTGTAGATTTTACATTTGAAATCATTGCATCTTATATACAGTCAAATATCGTTATCTCGACATAGCTTTTCTCGATATTTCGTTATCTCGATGAAATTTTGAAAGACCCGATTTTCTTCCTTCTTTATCTATATTGGAAATATTTGTTTATCTCGATATTTTTATTTCGATATTTTCAGAATCTCGATGTACAATCTCAGCCCTAGCAGTTATTTTCACACTATTATCCTTTGTTTATCTCGACTAATAGTTTTCTTTCGTCAGTTTCCTTCAGACGTGTGAAAAACACAAACTAGACGATAATTGCTCAATAGCGCGTGTCATAATGATGATTATGTTTGTAACATGTTTAGCTTTTTTTATAAAAGTTAATCTATTGAGGGCGTTGATTGACTTATGTTCAAATGAGTGAATTTTACGTTCTTTATAAATATTGGAACACTGTATCAATTCATGTAAATGAAATAGTGAAAGTACAGAAACGCTATCGTTGCAATATTGTTTCACAACATCACCACTAAATCAATCAGCGATCGAACAACATCGAGAAAGACCCGATAAATAACACGGGAGGTTATCCGGATCAACCACCCTGAAAACAATGTTTTCACTATATTGGTGTATTACTGAGTAAACCTCACTATGTGTTTTTTTCACAGAAACCCCTATTTCCGCTGGTAAGCATCCATTTTGTAATGTTACTTTGTTAAGTATTGACTAGTCCTATGAAAACAAGACATGGGGATATCATAGTTTATTTGACATAAGGTATGCACATGTCTTTTGTAAAAATCAGTTTCTGCTTTATTCAAACCCTAATATGTTTATCTCGACATTTCGTTATCTCGATATATTTTGGACGGTCCCGATTACTTCGATATAACGAGAGTCGACTGTATATATGTATTTGATGAAATAATATAATCCGTTTAATATATTATTTATAGTGATACGTGTACATATGTCAGTTTAAGTAAATGTAAACTAGAACTGTATTACCTATGTATTATGATATTAAATACAGCACTAATTGCGGCAAAAAAGAACATCTGGTAATATTTTGTCGCTATAAAATGATAAATAGTACTTGCATATTCATGTATTAAGTTTTTAATATGTATTCATTTTCACGTTGTGTAGTGGACAGTGAATTGAAAACAAAAGAAAGAAGCATGAAGGATTGTATGACCAATTATATTAATCCTGGTAATGCTAATATTCTTCTATGTTCTGCAGTTTTCTATGCAGACATAAAATACCTGTTGAACAATTATTGCCCATATAGCCTGCATCACAACCTTCCTTGCATATACCCGATGACTTGTCACATTGTTCAATTCCTTTAAAGCAATGGATACTGCAGTACGAAGTACAATTTACACCGAAACGTCCCGTCTCACATGCTGTGAATGTCGAATAACAGAAATAAGTTAATAAATGAAAATAATGATAAAATAAGACAATAACAAAAACAAACGGAACGCCCCCCCCCCCCAACTCCTCAAAAAACAACTATTTTTCTAACGTCCATTTCCTCTTACCATCAAAAACTTAAAACAGCAGTTTCGAAAAAAAAAACAAAGCTCGTTTCTGTGAAAAAGATAGATGAAAGGTAAACTTCTTAATATGTCCATCAGTATACAGTCATAATACAGTAGTTATTGATAAAATTATATCAATGGCGTGATGAACCTTGCTGGATCACTTAAAGGAATCTTGTATTTTAAGATACACCTTACTCATAAACTTTTATTTCTACGCCTGCTTTTCGGCGCAGTAAGCCTAGTAATAGGGCTAATGGATTTTTCTATAGCAAGACACGTACTAAAAACTTTTTTTGACTTTCCAGGGTATGAATGCCTAATAGTCTTCAATATGACAGAAATTTGTAAAAATATATACGTATAATCGAAAATTGATAGAAGTCTTTAAAACTCTAAAACGTTTCAGTAAAATATAGATTGATCTGCGCATAGTAAATTTGTATATTCGGTAAAAAAACCTTACCAAAATAACTAATGAAGGTCCTGCAGGCAGTAATTAGAATTATGCTTAACTTGATATGAAGCGAAAATCATAGCCCTTGAGGCATATACATGTAATAATAAAATAGAATATATACCATAGGCATATATACTTACGAGTCAAACAGTTATGTCCTTTAAATCCAGACACGCAGCCATTCTGACATTCTCCAGAAATTTTACTACACTGATCAAAACCTTGTAGACAGTTGTTGGAGCACGTTCGGCTACAATCACGACCGAATTTTCCAGCTGTACAGTCTATTATTTGACAAAAACATGTAATTTAAAATCAACAATAATTTGTGTATGTGTTTCTATTTAAATTTATGTATCTATTGAAAAAGTTTCAAAGAAACATCAACGAAACGTTTTGACCGGAAAACTACATTTGTTTGAACAATTTAATCTACAAAATATTGGATAGTTTAGCTTATATTGCATATGTACTAATTTGAAATTTCATTGACAGCTGACGATATATAATCTTTTTTTTTCTTCACGTATAGGTTATTTATAATGGCGTACTAACAGGATGGATTACATTTACTAAAACAAAATAGCAAAATCTTGCAAAGAAGAGACCACTCTAAAGCGACGAAAACACAAATATTATCTGACAATTAAGACCCGGTTTCATATATTCTGTTCATAATGTGTAATGTTAAAACATCTTTCATCTCTCACACACCACAGGCATAATCACGCGTAGGTTTACATCCTACAGACCGTATAAGACGAAGCCTATACATTTTGTGGACACGCACCGGCATATTGTACCAGTTTAGAAATTCGTGTCATTGAGTTGTCAAATTATTGTATGGTAAACTTTAAAATTCAGGGCCCAACAAATAAAATTGGAGATTGTATTATTTATCTAAAATTTCGTATATTTATTTGTTTAACCATTTTGAAACATTCAAAATGTATATAAGTCACTTCTCCCTAAATTAGTAGGCCAGGGTATTTTATACGATGTTCCGTTACGGCCATCGAGAAAAGCACAAATCTCTAAAAAACGAAAACACGAAATTTAGATGGTAAAAAGTCAAAGTAACGGAACCACGATAGTGAACAATTTAAAATGTCGGTAGCATGATTGTCAAATCATATATAACCAAACCACGAAGGTGAAAACGTGATATAATTTCACCGTTGTATTGTCTTCTTTTCGTCATGAGTTATAAAACTCATATTTGCCCTTTCTAAAGAAGAAAGTTAATCATTTGTGTAATCAACTGAAGGTTATACACTTTGTAGCATTCTTAGGTAGTCTTTTATCAAGTTTGCTCATATTAATTTGATTAGCCCCGTTTAAGCTAAAGCTTAAATGCCCCAGGTCATGGCATTTCTCAAAATTATTGTTTAAACATATTCTATGCTCAAATGTAATAGAATATATTGACATTGACACTGAAAAGCAGTTGTTTCTGGTGAGCGACTCAGGGCCATAATGGCCCTCTTGTTTTTGAATTATTCTATTTTATTTATTGCAAAAACACGTCTTCTTACATTTTATCGAACAGAACCATACCGTAACCTAGAAAAAACCGGTAACATGATGTAAACATAGGTTGTAAATGCATTGTAAAAGGATATGATTACGAAACTTCTTCACCGAAACAATCCTTCTTTAATAATTTTTAACAAAAAAATATTGCGGCAATTTTGATGCTAAACATAACAAATCAATTTTATTAAAAGATTTATAAAAACGACTTTTGAAAAGAAAATGTATTTATTTATAAGCTTCCTCCCAATATACATACATTTACCTCACTTTTTTCCAAGAGCTATTACTTTATAATGTTGTTTTTATTTTATACAATGTAAAACTTCATATTTTTAGTGTTTTTTTTTTTTCTTATTAAAATTAAAAAAATGGAGGAGCTTTATAGATTATATATAGTTTATACAATTTAATTATTTTGAAATAAGACAATCTTATTAAATAGAAACTGATGTTGCTCAAGATATGTAAATTATGCGGCATATAAAATGCCAATTGACATGAATATTGTTTTGCTATATTGTTGGCAGTCTCTCTCTAATTGCTAGAAGGTTATGGGTTTAAAGGCTGATGAAAAGTGGGTAAACCTTATCATACGTTAAAACGAAATTTATCTTCAAAGGAAGAAATACCAATATAACAAGTTTAGCCCATATCTACCACGGCTATTTGAATTACGGAATTTTTAAAGCTTGAAATCAAAAAAGGTAATAAGATTAAGATTTCCATATGTCCAAAAATATCATATTGATGTTAAAACTGAGACATTTTGTATGAAGCATCCCTTGATAATTTCTACATGATTAATATAAATCATGCTCTTGGCGTCAATATTGGCCGTGCCCATAGGTAGAAAACTTATTTTCATATAAAACTAGAACTGCCACTATCATGGCGTGAATACCCCCGCATTCCACTTTGTCAGAATCAACAGTGGCCATTTAGAGCTCAAGGACAACCTCCCTGCCAAATCTGAGGTTACTAAGCCAGTGCATTTCTAAGGTATGTATTCTACATGCTTCAAATGTGAAAATGTCAAAATCAATACATTGCGGACAGGACATTCTTTAGCAATTGAGAAGAAAAGCTTTTTTTTGTCAAGGTCCCTGTGACCTTGACCTTTGACCCAGTGACCTCAAAATCAATAGGGGTCACCTTATAGTCATGATCAACATCCATGCCAAATATGAAGACTGTGGGTCAAAGGAATCTTAAGTTAATGGGTGGACAAACTTTTTGAAGTCAAAGTCCCTATGACCTTGACCTTTGATCCAGTGACGTCAAAATCAAAAGGGGTCATCTACTTATCATGACTAACCTCCATTCCAAATATGAAGACTGTGGGTCATAGGAATCTTAAGTTATTGGGCGGACAAGCTTTTTGAAGTCAAGGCCCCTGTGACCTTGACCTTTGACCTGGTGACCTCAAAATCAATAGGGGTCATCTACTAATCATGACTAACCTCCATGCCAAATATAAAGACTGTGGGTCAAAGGAATCTTAAGTTATAGGGCGGACAAGCTTTTTGAAGTCAAGGCCCCTGTGACCTGGACCTTTGACCTGGTGACCTCAAAGTCAATAGGGGTCATCTACTAATCATGACTAACTTCCATGCCAAATATGAAGACTGTGGGTCAAAGGAATCTTAAGTTATTTGGCGGACAAGCTTTTTGAAGTCAAGGCCCCTGTGAGTTTGACCTTTGACCTGGTGACCTCAAAGTCAATAGGGGGCATCTACTTATTCTGACTAGCCTCCATGCCAAATATGAAGACTGTGGGTCAAAGGAATCTTAAGCTATTGGTCGGACAAGCTTTTTGAAGTCAAGGCCTCTGTGACCTTGACCTTTGACCTGGTGACATCAAAGTCAATAGGGGTCATCTATAATCATGACTAACCTCAATGCCAAATATGAAGACTATGGGTCAAAGGAATCTTAAGTTATTTGGCGGACAAGCTTTTTGAAGTCAAGGCCTCTGTGAGTTTGACCTTTGACCTGGTGACCTCAAAGTCAATAGGGGGCATCTACTTATTCTGACTAGCCTCCATGCCAAATATGAAGACTGTGGGTCAAAGGAATCTTAAGCTATTGTTCGGACAAGCTTTTTGAAGTCAAGGCCTCTGTGACCTTGACCTTTGACCTGGTGACCTCAAAGTCAATAGGGGTCATCTACTAATCATGACTAACCTCAATGCCAAATATGAAGACTATGGGTCAAAGGAATCTTAAGTTATTGGGCGGACAAGCTTTTTGAAGTCAAGGCCCCTGTGACCTTGACCTTTGACCTGGTGACCTCAAAATCAATAGGGGTCATCTACTAATAACGACTTATCTCCATGCCAAATATGAAGACTGTGGGTCAAAGGAATCTTAAGTTATTGGGCGGACAAGCTTTTTGAAGTCAAGGCCCCTGTGACCTTGACCTTTGACCTGGTGACCTCAAAATCAATAGGGGTCATCTACTAATCACGACTTACCTCTATTCCAAATATGAAGACTGTGGGTCAAAGGAATCTTAAGTTATTGGGCGGACAAGCTTTTTGAAGTCAAGGCCCCTGTGACCTTGACCTTTGACCTGGTGACCTCAAAATCAATAGGGGTCATCTACTAATCATGACTAACCTCCATGCCAAATATGACGACTGTAGGTCAAAGGAATCTTAAGTTATTGGGCGGACAAGCTTTTTGAAGTCAAGGCCCCTGTGACCTTGACCTTTGACCTAGTGACCTCAAAATCAATAGGGGTCATCTACTTATCATGACTAACCTCCATGCCAAATATGAAGACTAAGGGTCAAAGGAATCTTAAGTTATTGGGCGGACAAGAAAAAACCGACGGACGGCCGGACAGCCGGACGGACGGACAAGCTGATTCCAGTATACCCCCTTACAACTTTGTTGTGCGGGGGTATAATTATTTATTCTTATGTAAAGGTACAAATCCCAGATCTCAGTTATTTGGCATAGAAGAACACTGCAATTTTTCTAAAAATCATTTTACTGATATTAAAAATGGCTATTCCAAGTGGGTTGTTGGGGGATGGGTAGGTCTGGCACTGTTTATATGTACACATATTTATAGTTTACATGTTTTTAAAGTATTTGCCTCCAATAAACAACATGCATAACATAGATTTAAGCATGTATCTTTACTTTGTAAAAGTAGAATAATCCGTGATGGAAGTTTGTGTGAGTATTGATATTGCAAATGTACAGGGAGGAAATATATAAGAAAATTATTTGTAAGCATAACATTTTGATTTTTGATAATATTTAGGCATAATATTTTGTGTTCTTGAATTTCTTATATAATATTATTTATGTGTTTTTTTGAAATTGTATCATTTAGTTATTATTGTTTTCAGTCAGTATATATATACTCCGTGACAATTGCATTGAGATAAATAATCACCACTCTATCGTGTTGCTTTTGTTATGCACAATAACAATGTTCGATGTTTGTTCGGTAGATGGTCGAAATCCAGTAAATGTTTACGTAAATTATGACTCTAGGTTCACATGGGTCAATATCGTGTTGATGGCCTTTTGTTTTCCTCCAAAGCAAAATGTTTAGCAAAGTTTCGGCACATATATTGCTGTGCAATATTGTCCATTATTTTTAAATGTCAGGTGAATTTGAGGTACTTCGGCAGGTAGTGGAGAACGAGCTTGTTAACCACGACTAAGGACACGCATGGGCTGGGTTGTAATAGTTTAACGAAACGAAAATGTGCAGTCCGACATTGATTATATTCTCGATCCTGTTTATGTTCGTGGCAGTGGTAATCGGGCTTTCACAGCATCGCTTCGATAAAGTTGTATTGTTTTCGTAGAATTGTTTCAACACATGTATTATACACATGATATTGGCCTTTGTCAAACTTACTGCTTTCATTACTGCTTTCACCTTGTTACTTTGTAATTGTCATATAATTTGAATGAACTCCCTACAAATGATGTTCATCACATTGATTTTTATTTGTTTAAAGTTTCATGAAACATTGTGTGGAAGAATAATTTTATGAACATACCCATAGAACAGTTATGACCCATATATCCGGCTCCACATCCTTGCATGCAGTTTCCAGTAATTCTATTACATTGAATTACGCCGTTGAAACAATGGGAACTACAGACTGAGGAGCAGTTTATGCCATAGTCTCCTAAGTCGCATTCTGTAACACGTGTTATTTAATTGTAATATTTTCAATAATGATGATGTATCATTTAAGCTATGTAAACATTTTCAAGGACCTGTTTTTTTAAACAAGGAAAATGTTTATTTTTCCTGAATTTATTGAATGATGTTGCTAATTGTACAATGTACAATGTCGTTGCTATTACTTTATGTTTCATTTTCGCAACTATCTATTGTCAACATGCAAAATCTGTCTAATAAATAACGTTTGCAAATTCTAATCGTTTCTTTAATTTTTTCATTTCCTTGTAGGTTAAATATTAACGTTAATTGCGCAGCAAAGCAACAGCAATAAGGAAATACTTTGTTATACCTCTAACACATTTTAAACCCGTCCATCCTGCCATACACTCTCCATTTGGACAATGTCCAGAATCGATTTTACACGGCCCATGACTGCAATGTCCGCATTGTTGTTCACATAACTTTCCGTAAGTCCCTGGTTTGCAGTCTGTGAATAATATATAAAAAATGCAAATAAAATATTAAAAGACATATCTAAATATGATATGTGATTTTAATAATGTTTTTTGTGATCTTACTTATTGTCAAAATTTTGAAAGTTATATTTCACGCTTTCCACTTAGGGTATCTATGCCTATATATTGAACGAATTTAAATCTTCTTTGGGGACTCGCATTAAGATGTGTAAAGACGCATAAGGTCATTATGACAGACAGATTTATTCTTGTGTAAAATTGTTAATCTTGCGCAAGGTAATTTTTCTTTTCTTGGTGTTTAATTTAGTATTTTTTGTTATTTCAGAAGATCGTAATTCAGTTAAATCTTTTATTACAAATTCGTTTTATAGAAATTTTATTTTACATTTTGGCAGTAAGTTTTCGTTCTCTAATTGTTCGTCTTCTGTAGATTTATGACTAATTACTTGAATATTGCTAATCCGTTTATCATCATTGATAGGTGTTGTACGAATGTCGTATGTATGGAAGCTGGTGACGCCTTGAGTGCACGTTATTTTATCATGCATATGTTTGATTTATATTTACTAAAATAAGCTTTCATGTTCTTGTTTAATACCGTGAAAGTCATTTATAATTATGTCTGCTGCAATTGTTCTTTTTATACAATTTTTATTTTAAGTAATTTTCATATCACATCATCATTATTTTGAGTACGAAATAATATTGATTCGATTCAAGGAAGGATTTCGTCGATATTTAGGTGGCATCCGGTCAGGCTTTATGTTTTATATATAACAACGTGCTACGATATATGACCGACGTTGAATTCATTGTACCAGTGTGTATGGCGTTCCATAGGGGACATTATATTTTTTAGAAGCTTTGTTTATAGGAATCCGACAAAGGTCCGGCTATTCAAAAGGGACATACTTTTACCCTTATATTTGTGTACCATGGACATTTACCATGTTTTATATTTTGAAGCTTCTACTCGGAGGATCACCCACAATTTTGAATCACGCATGTGTTCAACATATAGACGATAGTGGAGATTGTGACGTAGCGACCCCACATCCGCAGTCTTGGGTCTACACTCTGTAGACAGTACAGAATCGATCTATCTGCTTTGAATGGGTCACATCTGGAGATTGTGACGTAGAGACCCCACATCCACAGCCTTGGATCTACACTCTTTAGACAGTACAGTATCGATCTCTCTGCTTTGAATGGGTCACATCTCGAGCTTCATTGAATATTTGTTTTGAGTTAAGCCGCCGGGAAAAAGTGCTATTCGACAGGACATGAGAAATGTGACACGGAACTTTTATTTATTTATTTTTCTTTTAATTCGTTTCATATCATTTATTTCATTATAAATATTCATCTATTTTTGTAAATAAAATGTTAAATAGTTTGTACTTAGTTGTGCTTTGTTTTGCATGGTAGTTGTGATCAGCCTGAGTTCCATGGTAGTCCATATTGTGACAATATTGACATTTCACTTTTGTTTATTTTTGTTTAATATAAATTGTTTATGTAAGGTCATAAGATATACACCTGTTATTATAACAGTTCAGTGGCATTTGTCTCCGTTTTTTATACATGCAGAATGAATTTACAATATTTAGAACTTTTGGGCCAGAGAGAGCATTGTTGTATCTATTGTTTAAAATCTCGCGATTGCTGTATCACAATTCCTGATTTAAATAAAAAAGACTTTTTTTTATAAATGATCTTACATTTGATATATATTTCCACTTCACAAACAACAAGATACCATTCGTTAACGTTCTGTGGACTTGATCGTCTTAATGTTATATACCGAGTGTGTATTCCTTGTGGTAACGTCACTATTACATCAGTGGCATTCGCTGATGTGAAATTACCGAGGATACGGTTGTTAGTACCATTTCCAAATATTTCCAACCCAGTAACATCTCTGCTTTCTGGCAAAAAAAGAAATGCTCTAATGCTTAAGTTATAGATGAGAATAATATATATAAGCAAACATAAATAATAATTCTACGGAAATTAATTGCAAACGCTTATGTCAAAGGTATAGATAACTTATGAAGAACAATATCAGGCTCAAGATCAGGATCAAATGTTAAAACTTTAATATTCTTCATTTTTTATCCTCATAGATTAAATATCTAATATCAATTTGATAACACTTGACTTGCAATAGCAAGTTTGTGAAATTTTAGAATAAATTTATTGTTATTTTTGCAAGATACGGGCATTTTACAGTTGATCCAAATATTGATCCAGATCCGAATGTTTTTGTATTCGTTTTGTAATTTGTTGATTTTATCCAAAACAAGTTTTGCTTATTCGCAAACCAGCAATTTTTTTTACATTTTGAATATTTACCATTTAATTCTAGCAAAACACGATTTATTTTAGTAACATAAAACAATGAAAAATAAAACCAGGATCACTTGATCCTGATCCCAATCGTTTCTTAGTGAACACGGGGCCTAATGCATAAATGAAAACTCAACATAAGTTATAAAAAGCATATGTTTCTAAGGTCCGGCCGCATTTATAAGTTTATGTAAATCAAGGAATGTAACTAGAAAAATGTTTGTGATAAAGCCATATGTTCTATAACGAGAATCTGTATTATTCATAATGTACATGTAATCTTTAAATATAACACATTATCGGTTACATATATATGTCAGTGTTTGAAAATAACAAAAGTAAATCAGCAAAGGACAGTTTATCCTAAAAATCTTATCTTTTCCGCAAAAGAATTGATCTCGCGATCTCTTTTAATAACTACAAACGTGTCCAGGCAGACAAATTCAAATCAAAGAAGTAGACAAACATGAAGGAACCAGTACAAAAACGCTTTGGGAACTAAGCACCTGTCGCTTTTATATTTCATAGAATTGCGCGACAGTCCATAATATGATAAATTACGTCACGGATATTGTACACATTACATACATTATATAGAAACTGATTATAACATGCTTAAATTAAAACGTTTGGAGTCAGAAAAGTACTCAAAAGGTAAAAAATAACACACACGATTAACTATGAATCTAAAACAAACTTACTTTCAAAACTATCTTTCCTACCAGCAACATGAATTTGAAATATTTCATGCACTTGCAGAAGATCGACAGTTATCCATGGATTTGCCTCATTATTGGAATGGCTACAACAATGACAAACATTCAGATCCCGACGTGGATTACCATCTATACATTTATCCGCAGTCATATCACTATAGTATGTAGACATCGTTGCTTGTTTATCAGTTGCGATGTTTGACACTGTAATATATGATTTTGAAAACATAATTAGGGATAAATTTAGCATAATGAATATTCTATAATTTACTTTAGATATATGTCAAAATAAAGAAACTAATATTTTGAAATATGTACTTAATCATTTATTTACTTGTATTGTTTCGAAATGCATATGGACAGTAAATTTTACAGATTCTTAAGTTAACGGAACGTTTCGAGTAAACCGGAACCAGTAAAGTTTCATCTAGCTAAACGCCATATTGGTTAACGAATCGACTAAGAAGAATCAAGCAATTCCCTTGCTTACAACGAACCATCCGTAATAGTTTGATTGTTTATATTGCTATTCCTCCATAAGCAATTGTAACATTTCTATAGGGGTTAAGATAAAATGGTAGAAGTCAACATGCGATTTATAATAATTATTGTAACTTACTTGAAGAAGAAACATTGATACATTATTAACATCAAATACCATACAACTTACTTTTGACAAGAATCTCAACCTCACATAAAACAATAGGTCCATCTAAAAATGAGCCATTTACTCGTATATCTTTGTCCCTGTATGTTCCAGGCACATCAATATTGATAAATTTGAATACACCAGATAAGTTCGCCGTTATGACAATTTGACCATGGTTATAATTATCTTTTGTATTTATGTATACTATGTCACTCTCTGTGAAATTTCCATCTTGTGAAAGGTAAAGTCTGAAGCCTTGCAACTGCTCTAAAAATAAAAATATTATAATTCCATTTCTAATCTTTAAGTGGTAAAATGTTTTCACAACTATAGATTTGAATACCTAAAACGGTTGTCCGATATATATGAAATATTATAAAGAAGTGTCTTAAAATCATATTTAATCTAAATTAATTTTTGAATTTCCATTTATTTCATACATATATATCTTTTTGGCTGTAAATATAGTTCAAGAAAATGTATTTAGATTAATTTAAAATATGTCATCGCTTTTGAACTTATATAATTTAATTACAAAATTGTCATTTTAACTATCAAATACATTACGAAATCTTTAAGTGCAAATACATTTTTGTTTGTTGAGTGGACAAAGCTGTATGTAGTACATACATTGAAAAGTTAGCAGCTACAGCAAGCCAAGCAAAAAAAAACATCACAATTTATATAAAGTAACCAATGATCTGCTGGAATGCTCAGCTAGCTAAGCAGTGTAGAGGGACATTCCAAAATATAGAGTAAAATGCTCCGCTTCAATGCTTATCTAGGAAAACAATCTAGCAGGGCATATGGAAATATAGTGTAAACATTCTCTGCTGTAATGCACATCTGATAGAGCAATCTAATAGAGCATTCTGGAACATAACGTTAAAATGCTTAGCTTGAATGCTAGCGGGCAATCTATAATTTAGTGTAAAATATAAATATAGTGTATAAATGGTCTGCTGGAATGCTCATCTGAATTGGAAATCTAGCAGGACAGTCCTTAATATAACGTGAAAATGCTCTGCTGGAATGCAAAATAGGCACCAATGGAGATAATGAAATTTTTACCCTCAAGCGTCCATTTCTTTGGTATTCGACTTTTTATGACACTACAGATAAAGATGTTATGAATTATATGGATCCTCCAGAGTTCATTTCGTCGATCTGCAACTGATTCTTGGGTAATTGCAGACTTTCAGGCGTTTTGATGCCAATGGAGAAAATGACATTTTTGACATCTAGGGAACCTCCAAAGTCCAGTTTTGGACTGCGATAGTTCTGGGATACTTGCAAACTTTCCGGAATTTTTAGTTGCAATGGAGGTAATGACATTTTTAGCTCGACTATTCGCAGAATAATCGAGCTAATGCAGTCACCCATTTGTCGGCGTCGGCGTCGGCGTCCCTGTGGTTAAGTTTTTGTATGTAAGCTGGTATCTCCATAACTACTGAAGGGAATGGATTGAAACTTCACACACTTGTTTTCTGTGATTATCTAAGATGATAGGCACAAGTCCCATAACTCTGAGTTGCTTTTTTACAGAATTATGCCCCTTTTTCGACTTAGAAATTCTTGGTTAAGTTTTTGTATGTAAGCTGGTATCTCCATTACTACTGAAGGGAATGGATTGAAACTTCACACACTTGTTCTCTGTGATTATCTAAGATGATTGGTACAAGTCCCATAACTCTGATTTGCTTTTTTACATAATTATGCCTCTTTTTCGACTTAGAAATTCTTGGTTAAGTTTTTGTGTGTAAGCTGGTATCTCCATAACTACTGATGGGAATGGATTGAAACTTCACACACTTGTTCTCTGTGATTATCTAAGATGATTGGTACAAGTCCCATAACTCTGATTTGCTTTTTTACATAATTATGCCCCTTTTCGACTTAGAAATTCTTGGTTAAGTTTTTGCGTGTAAGCTGGTATCTCCATAACTACTGAAGGGAATGGATTGAAACTTCACACACTTGTTCTCTGTGATTATTTAAGATGATTGGCACAAGTCCCATAACTCTGATTTGCTTTTTTACATAATAATGCCCCTTTTTCGACTTAGAAATTCTTGGTTAGGTTTTTGCGTGTAAGCTGGTATCTCCATAACTACTTAAGGGAATGGATTGAAACTTCACACACTTGTTTTCTGTGATTATCTTAGATGATTGGTACAAGTCCCATAACTCTGATTTGCTTTTTTACATAATAATGCCCCTTTTTCGACTTAGAAATTCTTGGTTAAGTTTTTGTGTGTAAGCTTGTATATCCATTACTACTGAAGGAATGTATTGAAACTTGAAGGGTTTGTACCTTTTCGGACAATTTTATGTATTCATATAGGTAAGCATTATTATACTCAATGAAACACCCTTGTGACAAATTTTCGAATAGTAGAGCGTTACTGTCCTCCGACAGTTCTTGTTTTAACTCTAGGGACCTCCTTAAGTCCATTGGACACATTTTCACGTTTATCTCCCCTTTCACGCAAGTACGGAGAATATCTACATTTTCTTCAGGAATATCCGGCTATAGTGCCAGTAAAACATTTAATAAACTATACTCCAGAAAGCCTCGCTAGATTGCTTTGCCAACTCGGTATTTCTGAGGTGCATTTCTCACTATACTTTAGAATGTCATGCTAAACTGATTTGCCTCTGCCAGGTTAGCATTCAATCAGAGCTTTTTTGTACTATATTTCAGAATTCAAGCAGAACATTTTACACAATATTTAAGAATACCCCGCGAAATTGTTCTACAAGATAAGCATTCCAGCACACAATGTTTACATTATATTTTAAAATGCCCCGCTAAATTGCTCTGCCAACTCGACATTTAGATGGTCCAAATTAAGACAAGATTAAGAATACCAAGTTAGATTGCTCTGTCTCTGCCATTTACACTTATTTACGAAAGCTCTCTATACTGTTCTGCCAGCAGATCAATGCGGAAGAGCAATTCTTCCAATATATTTAAAAACACAAGAATCAAGATCAACAAGACAAAGGCAACGTTCACAGGACGCAGCCCCCTGACACACCCAAGTAGGGCACCCAGAACGCACCCAACCAAAACCTGGAGTGGTAGTGTTATTTAAAGATTAATTGAGTATACTTAACAAATTGTCTTTAAATCATTGCAATATTTGAAATATTAATTTTATATATTATATAATAACCGTAGCGCCCTTGCGTTGTATATTTTAGTCATGTCGTTACTAAACTATTCTGCCTATTTGTTAAATATTTTTCGAATTTAACATATCTTTCACAGCTGCAAAAAGACCTCTCGCATGCTTCTTTTTAAAGCTACATTAAATAAATATGTAAAAATATTTTTGCCGTCGGCCTGAAAACCAAGCATTCTACAGATTCATTAACCTTTTTAACAGTATTGTTGTTAATCTCATCAAATATTGTTCATTAATAAGGATTTTAAACGGAAAACCCCACGGTAACACCAAAGTTCGTATACGAATTTTAACATGCAAATGAAGATTATAATCAGCTTGTGTATGCGCTACGTCACAGTGTTATAGCTGCTATCCGGAACACAACAAATATGAGATATTCTTGTGCAAACACATTTAACCGTTTAACTTCACGGTGCACTAGGCCTGAGGTTCAGTAAAAAGTAATCATTTCATAAAAAAAGATTAAATTTGTATGAAAACATCCGTGTCAATGCGGAAATATACCGTTAAATTAGGACGGCTACTATAGTCATATTTGTTGATTTAGTATTGATGTACGGATGATCTGAAAGCGGAGTTTCTCATGCAAACAGATATTGTACTTCTGATTTCGCCACAATGAGGTTGTCCATTTTTTTATTCTTATAAAACTCTTTTTGGTTGTCTGGAAACCAAAATAAGATCTGGAGTCGATATAATATCCAATTTATTAATGAAATGTCGCTTTTTCTGTTTTTATGAAATTTATTAAATGTCACTTTAAAGAAGCAAACTTGTAATTCTAGTAATAAATTTAATGTTGTCCTAGAAGAAATTTTGGTAAGCATAACTTTAACTCTACATTTTGGAATGTCTAGCTCACTGTACCTGATCGGTTTTATGACGGATGCAGGTTTTAAGAGGGACCTTTATAATTTTACGAGTCGGTTTTTCTCACGCTATTAAATACATGTCACCCCAATATTTGCGCAAATTTGAAGAGGAAAGTCTTTTCCTGTTTTTCACGTTTAACCTCATTTGTGTAAGTATAGGCCTGATATTGTTGTAAGACAAATACTCGAGACGTTTTTCTTTAGCTCTGCTGCGTTAGTATCATTACATACAGTGTTTAGTGCGTAGTAATGCCTAATACGCAAATGACATACGGCCGCCACGAGGCGACTATTTCACATAAAAAAATCGTAGTATCGTCCAAAGGCCGTCCGGCCACCGTGACAATCGGACGGCAGCAGCTGAAAGTTTTGCTCATCGGTCGGGTGCCGTCGAGTTTTAAGTACTACTTAAAAGCTAACGGCGTCTGGACGATAACTTTATGAGTCATTAACTTGAAAACGTAATTCGGTACCCGGATGGTTCATGCACAGCCTCCTGGCGGTCATCGTTTCGTCATACGGCGATCGCGCGACTTAAGTGTGTTGTAATTGCGGCTTGATGAACAGGCTCAATCAAACCGAGCCTGCAACATTTTCAATTTTGCCGTGTTGGGCTTTCTTTAGGGATTCTGTATTTATCTATTTTTTTTATTTATTTAAGTAGTTGCCTAAAAATGTATCTGTGAATTCTTATGAGTTTTACATGATTTAATGTCGAGCAAGAACGTATACGCGGAAACGTATTAAGGAAAATACAACCTACAATTGTTTTATTATTTGCTTGGTCTTCATCTTGTCTCTATCAACTGCCTTCTTTGCTGGCATATTGACCACTGACTGATTTTTAAAAGGAACTCATAAAATGCCCGGCGCCCACGCGCAACCGCCCGATCCATTTATTAATCGCACAGAAGCCGTCAGGACATCGGGCGGGGACCGCCCGGTTTTTGAATGCTGTCTGTAACACCATTTAGGCAAAAAAATTGCCCGGCAACAGTTTCATTCATTACCACGCAAGGTGTCAGATTTAAAATCGCCCGGGGAGTTCGCGAAATCTTCAAAATAGAGAAATACAGAATCCCTCAAGAAAGCCCAACACGACAAAATTGATAATGTTGCAGGCTCGCTTTGATTGAGCCTGTGCATCTGTTCATTGACGGTACTGGAAAATGCAAGTTAGCATCCACACCTAGTACCTGCT